TTCGGGGGGGGGGGGGGGGGGCGGCTTCGAAAATTTTGAACCGGAGGCCCCCTGATATAACGTTACGCCACTGCACGACCTTTGCATAATGATGCTTAGTGACACCTGGTTACAACTTACTGAACTTAGTCACTTGCTTAATCAGCAATCTTCCCTCTCAGATAATATTTGTACCTGAACTCCTGAAGATATCTAAATCTCCATGTTGCATTGCACTTTTGAGAGTAGCTGCAAGTAGGTGGGATGTACTCCCTTAAATATCTACACCTCCAATTTGACAGATAAACGTTGTATACAATTATGGCTATTAAACAGCAAGCTATAGTCTCTGCATATAGATAGCATTGTATTTTTGCTATCATTTCATATGTCCTTAATTTAAAGGTACAGTTTACAGCAACGCTTGGAATTTGCAGTACTTCTATATCCAAGGGATACAGGATTTTAAGTTTGGATACTGGACATCACAAGCTCAGTATCCATGCATGCATTGCTTGGGATATTAATCCTCCACAGATAGTGTATTTTTGTGTTGTTTATGAATCCTTTATAAAATGTATTTCATTATATCATGCAAATTCATTGCAATTGAAAACTCATTTTGTCTTGTTTCAATTTCGACTAATATTACTAATCCAAATTGAGGGATACTCGTGGTGGATATCAGATTTCTAGTATCCTACTAGATAGCGATGAAAAGACCTGGTTTACAGCCAGGGGTTTTTTCAGGATTTTCTCTTGGGTCCGTTTTTGCAGAGAAGATTGAGTTTAGCTGAACAGCTGGGCCGGGTGGCTGCCCCCCTCCCCCTACCGGGGGGCTGACACCTGTACTCAATAAATGTAGTTGAGACAGAATGTGTTAAAGAAGGGGCACTATAAAGGGACACTATATATATAAACTGGTTAAAGATGGCGAATGCATAGTTTTTCTTGTGTTGTGAGATGAATTCCGGCCATTTTTTTTAATTGTCGGGTTTCCAACTGAAAACTAATTTCCACAAGTCACGAATTTAACTCAAACAACTTCATTTTTACTGCACTGAAACTTTGGTGAGAAGATTGAGTTTCAAAACTCAATTCAAGATTTAGTTTTTGGGGCCGTTTAACGGCCCTAAAAAGTCCCTGAAAAAAACCCTGACAGCATATAGTCAAACCTCTCATTACATGACAGACACTTCTCTAACGTGGAAAATTTACCATTTAAGACAATTCCAATAATGTCCCTACAAAATTCTAACAAACTCTTTTCTTGAAAGGTGGCTCGATACACTTTTCAAAAATTCAGGTGCTCAACACTTTGACATGTTCAAAGTACGAATTTTTAGGATTTATTCAGCAGACAAGGCCGAAACTAAACATGATGCATGTGAATTTCAATGAATGTGGGTGAATTTAATTAAGTGCCATTTTTTATGCAGGTGATGATTGGTGACACCCGCTCAATGCAGGTGAGTTCACATATTTTTGTATACTGTACTTACTCTAAAATGTCTTTGGTCACAGCAGGAACATATAAGTTCTCATTGTTGGATTCAACTTGTCCCTCAATATTCCCATTCATATTTGCTGGATCATTGATATCAAACTCCCCAAGTTTTGCACTTAAAGGGTCAACCATGTTGTCATCTATGATACCTAGAAATTGGACACGTCATTTTTATGGGGAATTCAACTTGTAACATACAGACATTGATTACAGCAGACATATGCATATTGATCAATAAATATGGAAATAAGCATTAACATGAAAACGAGGCTCCAGGTCATGACAAATTCTTCCTCATGCATGCAGGCCTTAAAATGTCGGTCGGTCACGGACATTGTCCGACCCATTCACCAAATTGTCCGACGTACAGAGGAAACCACCTGACATTCTGTCCGACCTAAGTGAAACTGAGGTTTATTGTTTGTCTGACCCGAGTGTATTGGTGTCCGACCTAAGTGAAACTGAGGTTTATTGTTTGTCCGACCCGAGTGTATTGGTGTCCGACCTAAGTGAAACTGAGGTTTATTGTTTGTCCGACCCGAGTGTATTGGTGTCCGACCGAACTGTAGCTTTGTCTGACGCTTTCTCCACACACGTAAATCAAAATGTACCCTAGTCCAGAACCACAGTTTGTATAAAAATAAACCGGAAATGTTGCGGGGCGGCAAGTTGAATGGTGAGGTGGAAAACAGGCTTAAGTTAACTATCGAAGTCGTACTGCTATCATTGGCAAGCAAGTTATTTTTGGCTTGGAAATATGTATGAATGACACAAATTATTTAATAGCTTCACAACATTTAGTTCAGGATGAATACAGTACATTATGCTGATATTAATTTGCGTTTGAACTGAAGTCATCGGACATATGTCCGACCCAAACTCAAAGTCATTGGACATTTTGTCAGACGGCCCGGTAAAAGATATTTTAAGGCCTGTGCATGTGTTGAAGAAGGATGTTCTGCTTCTCTGTGCATAGCCCATGAGAAAAAAACTTGAAATCCTTTCCATTTAAGATGGTCCTATAAAGTTGAAAACAGTGTAGTTGCGACGTAATTAACAAAAGGGTGTACTGTATTAGAACCATCGCAAATAGATTCCGTCCAACTTCACAACTTGATCTGCAAACAGGGGGGGGGGGGCCTCAGAATTCAGAATTGTTATTAAAATTAACTTTAAATAGTCTACAACAGGTGAACAGGTAGAGGGGGGGGGGGGTTAAAATAAGAACAAGTCCGCAAAGTGGGATGAAATCTATTTGTCTTAACAGCGGATCTGAAATCAGCCAGACAAATTGCCATGTATAACTACAAGAGCTTTATGCAAGAAGTCCTCACAGAGAATTACAAAACATCAATATTTAATAATTCACTAAAAATATTTACACTTCAGTAATTTGTCATACAAATTAATTCAATCAAATGTGTCAGACACACATATAAATGTTGTGAACGTTTTATAATTACACTAGCATATCTTGGTATATATTTGGTTTCGTATTCGACTGAATAGAATGGCAAACAATAATGCTCAAATAAAGCCTCAAATTAGTCAAATATAATTTCAATTTAAAAAAAAATGATTCATTTTAAAAGCAACATGTCAACATGTTCCGGCTGCCTACCTCGGCGTCTACTTGCTCTTGTCTGAAATTCATGATATGGAGGCCCAGAACCAAACTTATCGAGTGTTTTACTGATTTCTTCCGCAGATATCTCTTTTGACTTTTGATGAATATTCATCTTTCGAATTCCTGGACATATTTCAACCACTTCTAGGGGGGCGGGGGCATGTTTTTTTAGGGAGGACCCAAGACGAGGTTGAGACCTTCGAATTAAAACACATGACGACATAATATTGTGTAAACAATTCGAGATAATTTTTATATTCACAACAAAAGCGGATTGTTACCTGTATTAAGAAATTTGTTGACGAAAATTCAATAATATACGAAATTTTTTTGAATTCACACATTTTCTAGCCATCATCAGACGATACTTTGACGTATTGCTTTAAATGAACAAATTTATCGCTGGCTTGCAGTTGAGCCTCATTAGCTCAGGGGTTAGAGCACTGGTCTTGTAAACCAGGGGTCGAGAGTTCAAATCTCTCATGGGGCTGACATTCGTTTTCGGTTTCTCTTTTTTTCCTTTCATAAATACTTACTTCGATCTTCTAGTCCCTACCTTAACCTGAATGATTACGCGTTTCATAAATAATAACGAAAAATACAAAGTTTGAAATTTTATAAGAGGTTTTTCTATATTTCCAAAATAATTGCGACTTATTAGCCCGCTTATAACATCGCGCCCACAAAACTCCCTAAATCCGGGCTCGTAGTAAAGTGAAGTGGCTGAAGTCCCTAAAATTTCTATGTATTATTGGACTTATTATCTTATCTACTCGCGTTTTGTCCATCAACAAATTTTTTTAGAAAAAGTTAGCAGTGACGTTGGCCATGGCCCCTTTGACCAGTAGGTCCAGTACAAAGATGTGCATTTTCATTTCTTGTAATGGAAATTTTATATTTATTTATTTATTTATAATTATATTTATCCAGGATACCCACATCACTAATGTGTTTTTCAGTGGGGTCCTGCATGATACAATCATTAACAAAAATTTACTTATATAAATATATACAATTAATATACAACGTCACGACATAAAGAAACGAATAATTAACTATATCTAGTAAGTACAGCTAAGAATAGTTATATGGTATGGTATGTGACCTTATAGTAAAGACTTAAATTGACTCAAAGAATCAATGTTTCTGACGGAAACGTCCAAGTTGTTAAAGTCTTTCGAAGCGAGGTAGGTTGGTTTATGTTTGCCCCAGTTGGTGTCGACTTTTGGGAGATGGAGGTTTTTACACGATCTTGTATTGTGGGAATGGATTCTGCTGTTAGTTGTGAGATTGAAGTCGAAATCTATCAGTCCGTTAGTGCATTTGTAGATATCTTGCTATGTTATCTGGTATGGATTCGTTTGTGATTAAGTGGAGTTGGTATGTGTTAAATGGTTATTTAAAATCATCAAAAATTATGCATTAAAATACAGTGAAAGTATTAAAGTCGATATTAAAGTAAAAGGCGGAATGGCATGTGGAAATCGGAATTGACTGCGGATTGCAGAATGGCTGTGAAGTGCAGACATTGAACCCTGAAGACCCGAGTTAACTGGTTTACAAGGGCCTATGTTTGGACGATCTCAGCTATAGCCTGTTCGTAGGTATGTATACGAAAATAATACAAGGCCTATAAACCAAACATGTCAAACAGTTACAACTACACCAAGATGAAAACAATCAGCCGTCACTGCGTATCCTACATAATTTATCTGATTGGAATCCTCAAACCGACCCTCTACAAGCGGCAATTGATAAAACTAGAATAGTGAAGCGAATAGTCGACGAATAGTACGAATAGTCCGCGAATAGTCCGCGAATAGTCGACGAATAGTGCAATAGAGACTTTGCAAGGCTTTGCAGCAGTGCTGTAGAACTAAATTTACCGGGGGGGGGGCTCTGTTGACAAACATGAAATCGTGAAAACATTCGTCGACGTACGTCAATGACGTCATACGTCTAGTGATTGTCATCAGTGGCGCCGTGGCCGGCATGGCCCTCCCCTATTGTTGACACCCGTCGTAAAATTGCCAATGCTGCCGGAAATTGTCTGAAAATTGTCAAGGCTGTCGGAAATTGTCAAAGTTGTCGATGGGGGGGGGGGGGGGGG